TTTGATGTTCATGTTAAACATGGCCAAAGTTTCAAATAATGAGGTTAAAGTATTTAAAATGAATCCCTGTGAGCAAAAACCTCAGATTTCCTCCTGTTCTGAACGCTCTGTTTTGAACTGCTTTTTCTACCAAGGACTCTGTTCTATGACATAGGGAACGAGACGGAGACGGTGTTCCATATATGGTCATTTGCTCTGCACAGCTAGCTCAGTCTGTCTCTACCGCTCAGTGACAACAACAGCCTGGCAACATGCTTCAGGTCTTTGAGAGGAGAGGCCATGAAGAGAGAGAGGAGCATCTGCAGCTTGTTTCAGAAAGATGCTGAAATGAAGGCCTACATGAAGAGTCAGTATTAAACAAAAAAATTTTTTTTGAACTTACAGGAGTCACAGAACTACAATATAGGGCTGGAAAAGCAGTATAATAGGTCTCCTTTAAAAGTTCCCCAAAACATCTCCCCATAGTGAAGAGGATGAGTCTATCTACTGTTTGTCTAACACTGAGAAAAAACAGCAATTGTGTAGTGTTTTTATCATTGGAAATTTACATCTTCCAAAAAGTTGGCATATATGTTGGAAGCTTTTTGATCACAAACAGTGGCAAGTGGCAGAAAGTAATAAATTCATATTATTTGTAAAATACTTTTAATTAGCTAGCTAAAACTTTTTTATTCTTTGTTTAACCCATTTTTTGTTTGTTATTCAGTTTGACACAAAAAAATTTACATTGCATTGAAAATAAAAGGGAAATAACAGCCCTGCAGTCAATCAGATTACCAAATATCCCAATCAGAGCATTGAACCCACCTAGATGTCATAAAAGTACCCCAGTTGAGGGGAACATATGTATGTATAAAATAGTAATTGGCTGAAGTGGAATGTGATATTTCCTTAAAATACAACACAAACAATGTGGACGAAAATATCTCTGCATCTAGACAACATGCAGTAAATGTTATAAAATGTTAATTATAGTTACTTAATTAAGTTTAACTGAGCTTTTACTTTGAAAAATTCTGAACGACATTAAAAGAGTCTGTAGCCTACTTGACACACCTCTGAAAGAGCCATCAGAAAACGTGATTCTCCTAAATGTCCTCTGCCTGGAGGAAAGCGTCCGTAGGTTGATAAATGTGGATCAAGCACTGAAATAAAAACAGTGCAGCACATGCCCTGACCTGAGAAACACTCGCTGCATAATCCATTTGTTGAAGAGGGGGAAAAAAAGTTTTTATGGAGGTGGAATCAAACCCTCAACCCCTGGGTTGTGAGTCTTGCACCTTACCAACTAAACTAACTGAACAACATATCAATGTAAGTCAATATTATAGCTTATATTCTCATCCACAATCTAATGTTGAAAATATCGCTCTGAGGCAAAACTTATTTGCCGACCCCTGCAGTATATTATACTACTTCTTCTTCTAACATACGTATTCAACATAGTGATGAGAGTCTGCACTGCCTGAATTCTACCAGAAGTAGAACAGGAACAACTTAGAGACGAAACGCGCTCTCTAGTGTTGTTTGTCCGTTTTCAGCTACTGTAGAAACTGGAAGCGGGTGCCCGTGGTTATGTATCCATAAATGACTTAGTTTTTTTCTGCCTTTGGATGCAGATGAAAATGTATGTTCAGCAAGGATACTGGATCCCCAGAGTCAAAGGAAATTAAACATATTCATTATGGAGTTTGATCTGCAATTAAGATTTCATTGTTGAAATCCCCATTTCATAAACTCAAGGACCACATAAATGTCCATCGATTCTCATTTGGTGTTCTCCATGAGCATGTTGACATAAATTCACTGACCGTTCGTTGCCCATCTAGGAGCCTTTTCTGGTTTGTGTGGGGGTTTTGTGCCTTTTGCAAAGATGCTCTGAGATTACTAAAATCACATGTTTTAGATGCTGCTTATATTATCAATTCTACTACGACTGCTACTGTTGCTGCTTCTGCTGGGGACAGTGAACTGGAACAGTATACCTTGTAACTGGTACACCAAGATGACCAATCATGAATTCTTTGATTCAGTTTCATCCATAAATCTTATGTCTCACAGTACGGTACAGACCAGCCAAGCCAGAGTGAATTTCTGAAGCAATGTCCCTGTGACAGGTGAGAGACCTCCAGCTAGGTTTTACTTTAATAGTGTTGCTGAGCAATAAAGTGGATCTGCTGAGATTAATGACCTCATCATTTGCTGTAGCATGGCATATTTGCTTCAGGTCACTAACGAGTATTTCACTGCGTACACCTTAGTGTGTAGCTGTCATCCACATCCTGTCAGCTTCTACAGGTTCAGCAGCCATACACTGCTCACTGCTGAAAATAAATTATGCATTAGACTGAGCCTTTTAATTTTTCTCAACAATAAGGGACGAGATTAATTATATTCACTCTTACACATTCATGACAACTCATTATACTGGCAATCAGTGTGTGTGTGTGGTACACTCCTCCATGTGTCAAAGTAAATAAAACAAATTCCATCCAAGTTGTATTCTATCAATGTCAGCACAGCCAATATGCTAAGACACGTGTACCATGATCCACTTTGCTTTGTAGTAATTCAAATCAAAGAGTGTTCAACAAGTTCGGGGACTGCAGAATGTGGGGCAAGTGGTTCACGTCTGGTGTATTGAAGTGTTAATTTTTCACACCAAATAACACTTCATTATCCAGATAACAGCAAAATATCAGCAGGAAATGTCAAGCAACTTTACTAGGTTAAGCAGCTTTTCATAATTATGTGCCACAATAGTGTCGCACTAGAGATTAACTAATGAATAGAAATATGAACTATCTTGACATTGTTCCATCTTTTAACACATTATGAACAATGCCCCTTGATTGATAAATCCTAAATACACTTTCATCTAACCAATTGCCTCATAATGTTGTCAGAAAAATCACAATTTCTGGCAGTGAACACAGAGGTAGGGATAAGCTTATGATAGTTACCATCCATCCATCCATCATCAACCGCTTATCCTGTGTACAGGGTCTCAGGGTATGATAGTTACAAGGAATGTAGAAATTAGACTTAATCCCCAACGATAATCCCACCTTTGTTTTGCAAGATGGTATCCATTTGAATTTTCCAATATTTCAGAGAAACACACTGTATATTCAAGATTATGTCACTTTATGTCACCAACTGCAGTTGGAAAAAAAAGGTAAAATCTTTTATTCAACAAATTAACATATCACAAGTATACGTTCAACATCTTCTATAAATTGCAGAAAGGAAACATCATGCAAACAAATGCTATTGGGGTTTTTTTTACTTAAAGGGGACCTATTATGCTTTTTCATATTTTCTTGCATATTTATAATGTTAGTGTCAGATGTTCATGTTAAACATGACCAAAGTTTCAAATAATGAGGTAAAATTATTTAAAAGAAATCCCTGTGAGCCAAAACCTCAGATATCCCCCTGTTCTGAATGCGCTGTTCAGTTTTTTTCTACAACAGCTCGGTATGATATCATTCTGAGCCAGATTTCCATATATGGTCATTTGCTCCAAGCAGAGAATGCTGTATAAAATTAATGTTCTTTTGTAATTTATTTGTAGCTTTGGCAATATTTTGTTTTACATTCATGCCAATAAAGCTGAACTGAACTGAATTGAATTGAATGCTCGGCACACCCACATAGGAACATGCTGCCCATCCCTGCACCTGGTAAACACATAAGACAATGGCCAATCAGAAGACAGTGGGCTTAGGAGGGGGGGGTCTCAAAAAGACAGGAGCATCTACAGCTTGTTTCAGACAGATGCTGAAATGAGGGCTTGCATGAAGTGCCAGAATAAGATAGAAAATTATTTTTTTGAACTTTAAATTATGCAAAACTGCCATAGAGGAGTAACAGAACTACAATATAGGACTGGAAATGCAGTATAATAGGTCTCCTTTAAGCTGTTTTCTTGTGCATTTCTCCATCACAAAATGCTACACAATTTACAACATAATACCCTAACACTAGTACTAACATGAAAAATACACCAAATGGCATGATGAATCAGGGATACTTTGTCTCCAGTGTGATTTTTGTAAACAGAATTGATCTTGGACAAATAAAACAGTCAATAACACATCAACAATATGCTGTTCATGTACATCATAAATACATAGTAACATGCATAAAAACATTCAGTTAAACGTCGGTCATGATCAATAATGATCATGTCATAGCATTCATTATTGTAATGAAACAAAATCACAGTATTTTATATTGCGCACTCAGGACTACAAATGGCAGTTTAAAACAGTTTCCTGTCACAAAGCAATGATCAGCAGAGGACCTTGTGGGAGAAAGCCAATCAATATGTAATAACAATATAAAAAATAACAACAAAAAGTTAAACTACACAGCAGTTACCCAAATGACAAATCTCTACAAAAACCTCAATGTTATCAATGCAGTAACTATTTTTATTCACACCTTTTATCTAACTAGACATCTTTAGTCAAATGCAAACATTTTCTATCATTTTCTTTCTTTTGACACAGGAATAATACAAGACACCAAAATATTTAACCAGTAAAACCCATTAGCTTAATGTGTGTGGTGTGTGTGTGTGGTGCGTGTGTTTAAACCCATGTTATCAAGAGTTGTGCTAGAACGTATGGTAGCAATACAGATTTAGTCAGTTTAGGGCAACTTTAAACAAATTTTCATCAACTTGACCTGAATTGTGAAATAAAAATCCTATTAGCAGTGTGTGAGACATTCTGAGTGCTGTCAATTGCTTGTTTTGTAAATGCTAGCGAAAGAGCAATGACAATGATCACTCTGCAAACTCGGGATAAACAAACCAGGGCTGAGATATTAAACACCATCTATTACATCAGTGGAACAGATTCGTCTGACAGAAGAGCACTGAATTTTTGTGGAGCTTCAGCATTTCAAAGCAAAATCATTTAAATCTCTAGAGAAAGACGAAACTCAGCTCTTTAAGAGCAGAGATTCTTTTAATGAAATTCTTCAATCCATTACATTTTGCTTTCTGGGATGATTGGCCTTAATCCACTTTTCTTTCTGTTGTTGTCGTTTGCCTCCTCTATGTCTGTATTGTGACCACCCGAGGCAGTCTGCCTGTGGACATCTGTACAAGGCAAGTATTGTTTTCTAATTCAGTCTGTGGGTTTGAACTTCGATGGCATCTCTTAAGACCTGGTGAAGATGAATGGTAAACAGACCATATGTAATGGGGTCTAGGCAGGCATTGAAGAGGCCAAAGATAAACAGCATATGAGTCAGTGAATGAGAGACTGTCTCCTCCATTTTTTCAGGGAACAACCAATACCACAGGCCTAGCAGGTAGTACGGGGTCCAGCAGATGATGAATGACATCACAATGACAATGCTCATCTTAAGAGTCCTCATCCGAGCTTTAGGGATGTTGTTGTGGGAGCGGCGGAGATGAACATTTAGACAGCACTAGAAGAGAGGAAGTCTTGGTCATGGACAACACCTTTGGTCTCAGAAAACGCATAATTTTTTAGAGAATGTGAGACTTACGGTTACCCCGGGCCATGCGGCTGGATATCTCAACAAGGATTCGTGTGTAACAGAAGATCATGATGACCAAAGGCAGGAGGAAGAGGCACAAAGGTGAACATGTTGTAGAGGGTCTCCTGCCAGTGCTGGAAAAAACTGCCGTGGGTGGTGCACTGGGTGAAGTTCTGTGGGACTGTGATGGTCACATTGTGAAATATGAACATCTGCATGAAAAGACAAGAGGAGTGATAACTCTTAATCAGCTAGACAGACAGAATCTGTGAAGGAATAATTTAGGGGTACTAAGACACAGGTTTCCCCAGGTCATGATAGGGTCAACTGCTTAGCTAAAGTAAGCCAAAGGTGACAGCCAGGGAATCTCCAAAACTCTAGGTCAGATGCTGTCTCTCTCTCTGCCTGTCAAATGACGCAGCTGAGTTGATAATGATGCACTGTTTGTTAGGTAACCCAAGGTCTAGATTATATTTGTTTCACTGCAGACAGACTGACTGTCTCTATGTAGAATGTGTTGCATGTGGCTTGAAGGACACACATTGTGTCTTGATTTGAACCAAAACCAATAGACTCTTCACACATGTTAGGGATGAACAATAACCTTATTTGGACTCTTAGTGAATCTCGGTGGATCTAAGAAGGATAAATATCCCAATACAGGAAATATCCTTCAGATTTGGTGTTGGCATTTGATGTGTTCACATATTGCATGGTGTACTGTATCTCCTCGGCTGGGCTCAAAAAACCATGCAATGTAAGTCTCATCAGTCTCCCAAACTTCATCACACCTGAACCTAGCTCACAATATTTCTTCAACAGAAACATCTAACTAATTATGCTTTCTCCCTCCCTCGCTCGGAAATCGACTGAGGTCCACTATCATCAAGGATGTGCCAATTCCTTAAATGATCTCAGAGATGAGGAGAGAGGAGGCTTCCAGAGAAACTTACAGGCTGAGTTGGAAACAGCAATAAATTGATTGTATTACTGTAGATATGGCAAATTACCTCTGGACACAGGAAAGTAGCACCATTAGTGTATCTATAGTTTTTCATATTATCAGAAAATAAATATTACATGTGTAGATCCTGAAAACACTTTACGTTTGTCTACTTTTTTTTCATCTTTTCTTATTTCTGCACGGTGATCACTCAGAGAAGAAGAAAGAGAGCTAGGAGAGGAGCCATACTAGCCCAGCTTGGACGTAATTCCGCTCCTAAAGAGCCAGTCTGGACAAAATGGGACTTGTGTTGACTACACAACGGAATTCAGAGACTGATGTGCCCACATCGTTGCAGAGACCTGCCCCATCAACATCCTGGATCAAGCACTTGGCAGGTGGTTTATGTTCCGAGCTGTGAGCACAAGACTCTGGCAAAATGACAAGAAGTGGACTCTGTGTTTTACATCAATGATGCTTGGTGCTCAAATGCAGTCAAGATGGATTTCAGACTGTTTATTGTGAAGATAAAGATGTTTACATTCCCCAGACGCAAATTCAAAAATGCACTGTGGAATGTTTTGGGTGTATACATGTCTGTATATATTGTTTATTTTATATTATATGTTACTATATTTTAATATAGGCCTATTTATGTTGTGTGTGTAGCATGAAGGAACTACAAATTTCATTTCATTATGCAGCCTTGTGCTATATAATGACTAATAAACTAATAACCTTGTACCTTGTTAACTGTTACTTTGATTTTGCCACATTAAAGGGCAGATCATAAACAATTAGTAATTGCCATCTCCTAATGACGCTGGATTGAGTACGGATGTCCTATTTGGTAAATAAAATTCCTCCACCCTCGCATCTCTTCCTTGTGTTTCTCTCTTATCTCCATGGGGAGATGAAGATGCCAGGGAGAGTTGTGAGTGAGGAAAGCGTGGACCATTGTTAGACAAAATGGACATAATGTATATTGGCAAACTTAAGTGTACTGTGGGGAGGCCTTGACTCAGGAGGTAGTGGATCGATCCCCAGCTCCTCCTTTGTTCTTGGGCAAGCCAATTAACTCCAATTGATAACCAGGTCAGAGACTTGCATGGCTGATCCACCACCATGATTTGAATTTGTGTACACATAGGTAAATGAGGGAGAATTGTAAAGTGCTAAATAAATGCAGTCCATTTGACATGCTGTGATTCTGTCTGTAGCTGAATGACAATTAAGTTCAATTAAGTTATTTATTTCCTACCTTAATTATCAGAGGAATAGAGTCTCACTAGCTCAAGGAGAGGTCGTTTGACAGTAGGTTTGGATTAAGACTGTGCAATGCGCACTACATTACTTGAAATATCGATTGTGTTTCATGTCAGTAACTGACAAAATGTCTAAATATGTAATATAATAATTCAGATAATGTGTTGATTTATATCTATATTCTCATTGTGTTTGAATCCAACTGACACTGGCTAAAACGTGCAGAGCCTTCAAATACAGGTACTTTAAAGACAAATTGAGCTGTTATCACACTCTGACAGCTGAATATGCCCTTGTCATTTTAAAATGTCTGATAGACTGATGTAGGTGCTCATGTGAAGAAAAGGACCTACACAGTTTTTTCATTGGACACGGAAAGCCTTTTGGCTGTATAAGAAAAAAATATATTTATCTTGCAGGAAAGACAATCCCATGAGACATCTGGGCTCCTGAAACACTGCACTCACTGCGGGTATGTACACTTCCAATCCTCTGTTAAAGTAAAGGCCAGTAATTGCAGTTCTTGCGGACAAATGAAGCAAGCCCCAAAGGAAAACCCCCTGTCCTGGTTTTCCTCTAAAGCGCTTAAGTTGATTTGATGCTTAATTGTGTTATCATAAAAAATGAGTTAAAAACACAACAGTGACTCAGGTTCAGTCAACAATTCTGCAGGTCTCCCATGACAATAACTTCATTATATTTGTTCCTTTATTTCTCTGCTCAGGAAAACACAAAATGGGAAACGAAACTGAACATGCAACAGGCGAAAAACTGCATTATATTAAATTACATTAAAGCAAAAATATACATCCTAAAGATGCAAACTGTTTTATGTAAGCATGTTCCACAACTTATAAGGAATGTGATATCATCTCAACTGAAAGCAGACAAGATGGAATCAAATTTTGAATTTTTCGCAGCCTTTGCATTGAAAAAATAGAAACAGCAGCAGTCTTGTTTGTTTGAGGCCCTCAGCTATCACAGTGAAGATAAATGGACTGAAATGGCTGAGCTGTACAACATCTAAGCCACTGGAAGTGAGTCAGTGCATTAGCCCAGGTAAGCATGGATAAGTCTGCTTTATGAGCAAGACACTCGTTTTCCCTCCAAGATCATCATCATCAGTATAGCCTATATGGATCTTTGAATGAACACAATATGCTTAATTTTTTCAAAGGAACAGAATACATGTGTGTTGAGATTCAAGTAGTAAGTCAGTCAGTGCGCTTCTCAATTCAAAGGAAAGTGTCAAAATAAAAACAAGTTGTGACATCACATGTTTGAGTTTCTTTCATTCAAACATGTGTTGTCACATAAATATTTATGTCTCATGATATGGTTTTGAAAGCTTTAAGCGACTAGCTGAGTGAAGCTTTTTTTAAATTGTACCTCTAAAGCTCCGCTGTCATTCACTGTCAATCACTACAAAATCATGGTGTTTGGCCAAGCCATGTTCCAACTCCACCAAATACAGTACGTTAGGCTGAATAGGGAGGAATGTGTATAAAATCATACTCAAAACATCAAACATCTCAATTTATGGAATGGTGTAGCCATATAAACATGGAGCCTTGGATTTAATGTGTTTAATTTCAGTGTAAACACCATATACTGTAGCTTCAACGAAATATTGGAACAAGCTGATACAGAATGTACTATCAGACAGTTTGGAATAATGTGATTTTTCTAACATTAAAGCTGTATAAAGGGGAAATGAAATAGGAAAAGTGGATGTTACTGTAAAAGGTGAAAGAATCTAACAGCAGGTTTGGGAAAATAAATACTTCCTTAAAACAATCAACATTGACCATTGGTTTCACAAGGAAAATTACCCCCAGTTCCCTGTGTGAAAGTCCTATGTTTACCCCATCCATCCACCCTGGCCTCTTCCCTATGTAGACTTTGTCGCTCTTTATACTACATTTGTTCCCTGCTGGTACGGCACCTTCATAGGCGCGTGTACTTTTCACGTTGAGGCAAAACGTGACACTGACACTCTGTCCTCTAGTGGAACATCAGGTGTATTACACACTTGTGTGTTACTGCGCTGGTTCTGTAAGCACATATTATACATCTCTCTAACAAAGGCAGCAATCTGTGTGTGTGTGTGTGTGTGTGTGTGTGTGTGTGTGTGTGTGTTTGTATTTCGATTATGTCCAGAACCGTTCATCCAATCAACCTCACATGTGGCGGGTGAGTTGCTGCAGACCCAAGGGAGTCCAGCATTTGGTGCAATTTGGACACGAGACACATTAATAAACATAATTAATAAACTTTGAATAAACTACAGTACAGCGCAAGCCGCTCCACTCTGCAACAGCAAGTCTAGGGCTTATATGCTCTGATGTGGTAGTGAATTGTTGCAATGGAGTTATCGCTATTACTCAGGTTTGATATGTGTTAGAGAGAATGTGTTGAAATGGAGTTGTAAGAGTTTTATAAAGTTGAATATCTAACAGTACCTCCGCCATTATCGTGTTGTTTCTGTGTTGTTAATGCTGTGTTATTAATGCTGCATGAGAAACCAATGTGAGATGAAATTTTGAACAAGCACTGCATGGCATCTAATGGCCCTTTTCTACAGCATGGTACCAGCTCAAATCGCCTTGACTATACTAGCCTTTTTTTAGTTTTTCCACTTTGGAAAAGTTGTACCTGGTACCTGATAATTTTTTTCGCATCATCTCCGTTAAGGTTCCAAGCCAACTGAGTTGAGTTGAGTTAATACCAAAAGCTTACTGCAGACTACTGATTGGTCAGAGACGGGGGCCAGTGTATTATATTTTACAATTTTTATTTCTAAATCCACCTCTGAGAAGTTTTGAGGTGATAATCAGCTGAGTAGAGTTAGAATATTGGCAGTTTTACAAAAATTGATGGTGGATCCATAATGTGCTCAAACGTTTTCGGAGTTGACAAAAGCCTAGCTCAGATTACACGATTTTAAGTCCAATTTGCTGGTTGTCAAGCTCGATGACCGTCGGGCTGTGATCAAGGGTAAAT